CACTGCAGATATAGCAGAAATTATCTGCTTTATTCACACAAGTTCGAGGCATTACTGAGTAGCCTATATAAGCAGAAAACGAAATGTAAAGACGAACTCCAATCAGCTACAGATACTGCAGCTTTTATGCAGTGAAGTGATGCAATTAAAGGCTAATATTGCATCATCTCAGTATACAGGACATTTTCTATTGGTCACCAGTATCAATTGCGCAATATGCAGCTGAAGTTGCATCATAATTTTGAATGGCTTACGTCATTAGATGGGTGAATATATCATGGAAACTAGAGCCAATCAACATTTTTTAGGGTCATTTTCGTTTTCAGCACCCCAAAATTATGTAAGATTAGCTAATTTTATGCCCAAAACTTTTTACCTGTTGAACAGTGTAATTAAAACACTAATCTACTGTATTATTAAAAAAAACTGATCTATGCCCACAGAGGTTACCTGAAAAAGTCATTAAATTTGGGGTGTGTGCAGGGGCAGACTGACCATTTGGAAACTCGTGCACTGCCCGAGGGCCCGGGGTCAGTAGGGGGCCCCATGAGATGCCCCTGGTACCTTTTTCATAGGCTTTTTTGAGTTTGGGCAAGGACACAGGGGCGCCATGATCCCCTATTGCTCGGGGGCCCCATGAGTTGTCAGTCCGCCCCTGGGTGTGTGGCATGCAGAATCTTGCCGTCCATTAGGCACAGCCCCTTCTTGATCTTGTACAGTAACTCTTATGTGTTTAGGTCCAGTGCCAGGGGCGGGACTGACCATTTGGAAACTCGTGCACTGCCCGAGGGCCCGGGGTCAGTAGGGGGCCCCATGAGATGCCCCTGGTACCTTTTTCATAGGCTTTTTTGAGTTTGGGAAAGGACACAGGGGCCCCATAATCCCCTATTGCCCGGGGGCCCCATGAGTTGTCAGTCCGCCCCTGTGCAGTGCCATATACTCTATTGTGATCTGATCTGTCTACGGATACTACTAAGTACATATATCCAGGGGCGGACTGACCATTTGGAAACTCAGGCACTGCCCGAGGGCCGGGGGTCAGTAGGGGGCCCCATGAGATGCCCCTGGTACCATTTTCATAGGCTTTTTTGAGTTTGGGCAGGACACAGGGGCCCCATGATCCCCTATTACCCGGGGGCCCCATGAGTTGTCAGTCTGCCCCTGCATATATCCCTCTATTTCTGATGGCACACAACACTTTTGGTTTTGATTTTCATAGTTTCTCAACTGATTATACTCTAATTATGCTCTGCTGTGTTATTTTGCAATTATTCCTGCAAACAGTCTGTGATTAGGTCTCTCACTTCATTTGTGTTCAGTAATTTGATAACTTGCCAATTGTCTATGTAATGCATTCCTTCTGTGTATGCTATATTGCAGAGACCTTGCCTTATCCATTCCTTTGACCGAATATGTACGACATACAGTAGGTGATGTCTTTGTCAGCACTGCATACCTCACAACTTTTTGAGATGGGAAAGAGGGACACCTATCAACAAATGTATATCCCAAACACAGCACCACCTGCCTGGAGTTTGCATGTTCTTCCTGTGCCTGCGTGGGTTTCCTCTGGGTACTCCAGTTTCCTCCCACACTCCAAAGACATGCTGGTAGGTTAATTGTCTCCTGTCTAAATTGTCCCTAGTATGTGTATGTATGAATGTAAGTTAGGGACCTTAGATTGTACGCCCCTTGAGGGTTAGGGACTGATGGGAATGTACAATATATATATGTGTAAAGCGCTGCATAAATTGACGGCGCTATATAAGTACCTGTAGTCAGGGGCGGACTGACAACTCATGGGGCCCACGGGCAATAGGGGATCATGGGGCCCCTGTGTCCTTGCCCAAACTCAAAAAAGCCTATGAACAAGGTACCAGGGGCATCTCATGGGGCCCCCTACTGACCCCGGGCCCTCGGGCAGTGCCCGAGTTTCCAAATGCCTGTAGTAAATAAATAAATGTATGTAGGCATAGGACACACCCCCTGCCACGCCCCCTTAAAGAAGCATTATACAAAAAATAACGCACAAGTGCTTTTTTTTTACCACTACTATTCCTTGATATTGGCATTTTAAATTTACACATGAAGCAATTTAGAAATTGGATGACAGGTTTAGCGCTGGGAAACACTTTTTTATTTATTACAGGTATTTATATAGCACTGTCAATTTATGCCGCGCTTTACAAATATATATTGTACATTCGCATCAGCCTAAAGGAGTGTACAATCTAAAGTCCCTAACTCACATTCAAACATACACATATTAAGGACAATTTCGACAGGAGCCAATTAACCTACCAGCATGTCTTTGAAGTGTGGGAGGAAACTGGAGTACCCAGAGGAAACCCACCTAGGCACAGGGAGAACATGGAAACTCCAGGCAGGTGGTGCCGTGGTTGGGATTCAAACCAACAACCCTGGAAGTGCTAACCATTTAGCCACTGTGTTGCCCAACCTTTTTAAAGATAGATAATGCATTTTATATACAACTAGAAAAGCTACAATTTCTGGGGAAATTGTGTGAAGTGTTCTTGCCTCCACCAGTAGTCTACAACTGGAGTGGGCGGAGTAACTGGGTGGAGTGGCTTGTTACTCTGCTGCCTGCTCACACACCTGGGTTCCTATGGCAACTCACTCTACAGCAAGGGCAGAGAAGAGGGCTTAAAAACAAACTGCTCCAACTTGCTCACTTCACTGGCGGTTGCCATCTTCAAACAGTTGTAGTTTAAAAATTATAAATCCTACACCGAAGAACGAGAATCACAAGACCCAGACCTACATTTTGATGCATAGTATGTCTGTGAAATATTAAAAATGAAGGCACAGTCGCAGTTTAGAAATTGCCCTTCAAATTTGAGGTGGCTAGAGTGGAGTTTCAATGAATGTCAATGGGCGGGTGAGTTGCAAACAAATGGTCATATTGTGAAAACTATCAGGACTATGGCTTAGCCGTGGACATTTTTAGCTGAACGTTTTGATATAAGATCTGTGTAGGTGGGCTTGAAAATGAGGGAGTGATGGCAGTTTAGAAATCATGTCCTGATTTTTCAGCTCACACTCTAGTTTTGAACATTTCGCCCTTCATTCCTATGGGACCTGTTCTTGTTGACAGGGGAGAGATCTGTGCTGTTTATACCTCTCCCTGTCAGCTCCGCCAATGATCACCAAGTCCCAGCCGAGGAGTTAGGGTTGTAAATTTGGCTATAATAAGAAGAATATATATGTGAGAAAACAGTAAGTGGTCTTGCCATGCAAGAACACTTAATTAATTTGGTTTAACCGCAGAAGTACTGCTACAGGGCGGTAAAATCACGTAAATATACGTGATTTTTGCCTTTCCGGGTAGGGGGCGCGTGTGCATGCTCTCTACCCATGCCGCTATTGGCTCCTCGGCATGTCAATCACCAGGTCCTGGCCGCCGATTCTCGGCTGGGACTTGGTGATCATTGGCGGAGCTGACAGGGGAGAGGTATAAACAGCACAGATCTCTCCCCTGTCAACAAGAACAGGCTGCTTTGTATTGTTCTGCACAGCACAGTAATACAAAGCAGCTTGTCTACATAATAAAACACACACAGCACACTATGTAAAACACAACACAGCACATTGTTAACCCTTTGATCGCCCAAGATGTTAACCCCTGCCTGCCCAGTGTCATTGGTACAGAGACAGTGCTTGTTATTAGCACTGATCACTGTATTGGTGTCACTGGGGATGTCAGTGGCAGTTAGTCAGTCCCCCCCCCCCCCCAGTTTCAGAATGTCTGTCGCATTCCGGCAATAAGTCGCTGATCATCACCATTAAAAAATGTAATAAATAAAAATTCCAGTATATATACCACCATTTGTAGACGCTATAACTTTCACGTAAACCACGTAATTTACATGTATTGGGATTTTTTTTAGCAAAGACATGTCGCAAAATACATTTTGGCCTAAATTTATGAAGAAATTTAAAAATTTGTTACTGGATATGTTTTATAGCAAAAAGTCAAAAATATTGTTTTTTTTTTTTTTCAAAATTGTTGGTCTTTTTTTGTTTATAGTACAAAAAATAAAAAACAGAGGTGATCAAATACCAATCGAAATAAAGCTCTATTTGTGGGGAAAAAAAGGACATAAGTATATAATTTATGTATAATCCCCTCTTTAGCCTGAGTGTGTCAAGGAGCATGGTGCTGCTTGCAGAGTTGCGGGACCCGAAGAAACAGTGGCTCCTTTGGGGTTCGTGCTGCAATACAGTAGGACAGGAAATGTGTTATCAGCTGAATGACCAGATGAAATTAAAGACGCATTCACATGGTAGTGCATGATTCCATGCTCAATGTGAGGGTTGTGTTTACCTGCATGGGGATTGCTGTCAATTGGGACTTTGCAGCTGCACGGACACAGCCTCTGATTCCAATGTGGGTGCGGGAGCATGGCTCCATTGACAGCAATGGGTCTGCCTTCACAGGGATACATGGAACACCTGTGCATCCCTGTGCGGGTAAAGATGCCCCGCAAATGAGGTATGGAGGCCTAGAGCAAAAAATGGAAACAAATACAGCCACAAATACTAAACCCAAAAATAGTAAAATCAGTCTGTATATGCAGTAAAAGCATGTTTCTTATACTCACTGTGGAACCTAAGGGGTTAATCCTCTACATTGTGTACGAAGGCTGTTTGATCCTTTCTTCTCTGCCCCTCCTCTTGTTGAAATGATCACCTGATACAGACTGAATCCGTAGTCACATGCACATACTCAGTTTGGTGTGTGTTGCTAGATATATTTTTTTTCTTGGGAGAGTGCATGTGATCAGCACAGGGCCAATGAGCACTGTCCAGACAGAGGGTCAGGGGTTTCACATCCTCCTGGAGCAGAAAGAAAACTCCTCCTACAAGCTTTAACCAGTGCTCTTCTGAAGTCAAAAGACTGCTGTAACTGCTGATGAGAAAAGGTATTTAGCAGTTTATATTTACTAAAATAATTGCATTTCCATGTTCTGTGTACTGTGGGAGAACAGATATAGTGAATGCAGGGTCTGGGTTTAGTATCATCACTTTGACACCACCTAACCTTAACAAAATAAAAAAAATACCTGTGATTTTCACATGTAGGGTAAAGCAACAATTGTGTTGTGATTTTGGTGTCATCTTGAACATAAAAAGTGTTCTGTTTTTTTTTTTTTTACTGTGCTGTAATTATGAAACTATATAAAAAAAACAACCCTACTAAAGCTGTTCAGACTGTTAGAGAAAGAGAAGGCAATAAAGAATACAATTCAAGAGGAAGACTATAGACTCACAGAGATACAATGCCGGTGCTCTTCACCATCTCAAGCCTCTACACTGCATGAAGCATCTTCGGAGTCAAGAAGTATAAAACATTTTCCTTTGACCTGATTCTTAAAATCTAAAATTTTTCCATATTGTTATCATACAAAATTTATAGGGCGACAGCAATTATATATTGTTCTGATTTCCCCATTTTCTCCAGCCTAGTCAAGAACAAACCATGATCGAAATGATTGAGGTTAACAAGTAATAAACATTTTCCTTGACCTGAATCATAAAATCCAACCTGTTCACGTTTCTATACTGTGTCAGACTAGTGGAAAACATCTTTTTTTTTTCCCTTTGTCCCCTGAATACTTTCTAAACTGGAAGGTGTAAATGTGACATCTAGTTCAAGGAAGAGCAAGAGGTTTTATGTAATGCAGGAAAATCTGAATAAAAGACCAACATGTTTCCCCATCTGGACCCGCCATCCCAGTGATCAGCCGACTTTACTGGCTTTGGGGATTAAGTACGATGACACATCTGTCAGATCATTATGTAAAAAGGACGGCCGTGCTCCGCAGACCTGATGCAAGTCTATGTGCCATTATTTATACATCATTTTATGACATTGCATCAAAATGTCTTTATATCAGTGTTGTGAGAGTCGTTAACTGCGTTTTAAGTCAGATTACAGCTAGCCCCTTCATGGCCGCTGGACTGATTTAAATGTCAGCCCCAGCAGAGTGAGGAAAAACTGTTTTCATGCCGATATAACAGCCACGGTATACCTCTAAAAAAAATGTTTTATTTCCTTGCAATCTCTACAGCCATTCCTTGCTTCTAACAGCAATTCCAATGCTGTACTTGTATCAGATATGTGTTAGAATATTTTCTAAGCCTACTGTTATGAGGGGACAGGGCAGTGGGGAGACATGACATAGGAGCCAGACCCCAGGGACATAAGGTGCAAAGGCATGAGAATAGAAATGTCTTCATGGGTCCCATGGGGCAGATATGTGAAGTATCTGGGTTTGAGATGGCACATTGCTGAGATCTGACAGTAAATAGATTGACCTTTGGCAATTGGCAAGGTTTCAAGAGGTGTACTGTTTCATATGCTGCTTTATGCATTGGCATACCTCCTTATACCCAATCTGTTCAGGCAGTGTGATCACCTGCTGATTTGGCACCATTCACAGACAGCTTAACTCTTCAGTAATACACGAAGGTGGAAACCAGCACATTGTAGCTTCAGCTAATTGCAGTACAGAGGATGTTTTTCCAGTTCTTTGAATGACTTTTCTAAGACCTGTCTTTGAGAAGAAATAACATGGACTGAGGGAACATAGAAGATGTGGGAAGGGTCTTGCTAGGGCTAAACTAACTAGCACCAACCAGGGGTAGACAGAAGAAGAAACCAATATCACACTAGTAAACAAGTTGAAATGGCTTAAAACAACCACTAGATGTCAGCATACTACAGAAATTGGATAACCTCATGCAGAACAAAACAAAACAGAAAAATCACATGAAAATAAAATAGAACGAGGTAGTAAGGTGCTGGTCCCGAAAGAGTGCATCTTTACTCCATAAAGACATCACGATTACACAGCGGAGCTGCACACTGATCATGTCACCCAGTGAGTCTTCATTCACCCAAAAGTTGTCCAACAGGTGGGGGAATTTTGAGAAGTAAAGTTTGGCCCCGTTCCTTCCAAGAAACAAACATCCTGCTCTGTGGATGTATCCTGGAACAATGGCTCATTGTGCAGCTCTGGAACTTCCACTGGTGTGATGTAAAGCTGGTCATACAATTTAAAATGCTTGTTCGATTTTCTAATTAACCAATTAAGCTCTAGAAGATTTTACACCCTTCATTTGGCACTGTTCTACTGTAACTGGCAATTGCGCGGTCATGCAACACTGTACCCAAATGAAATTGATATCTTTTTGTTCACACAAACAGAGCTTTCTTTTGGTGGTATTTGATCACCACTGGGTTTTTTATTATATGAATGAAAAAAGACCAAACATTTTAATTTAATTTCTTTATAAATTTAGGCCAAAATAATCTGATACATGTCTTTTGCAAAAAAAATCCCAATAAGTGTATATTGATTGTAAGTTATACCATCTACAAACCATGGTATATATACTGGAGCTTTTTTAAATACTACTAATGGCAGTGATCAGCGACTTATAGTGGGACTAAGATAGTGCGGCGGGCAATCTGTCATTAACTGACACTGGGTGGGAACTGACTGACACTGATATCTCTGAATACAGATCAGGGATAACACTATACACTGTCACTGTACTAATGACACTGGCTGGGAAGGGGTTAACATCTAGGGGCAATCAAAGGGTTCACTGTGTGCCTAACAATGTGTAATGTGTGTGATGTGTGCAATGTGTGCTGCTTTTACTAAGAGATGTGACTGTGTAATTTCTCTGCTTTGCAGGAAGATAAAAACAGTCACATCTCTCCTCCATGTACAGAGCCCTGTGTTGTTAGTAAACACAGGGCTCTGTACTGTCATTCGCTAAGCCAATCAGCAGATCCCAGCTGCACTGAATGACAGCACAGATGAAGCGATGGGTGGGCGCCCCCTACCTGGAAATGCTGTATCACTGTATGTGATCCAGTGCAGAGCAGCCGCCCCACCGCAGTATATCTACATGGGGCGGTCTGCTAGAGGTTAATGTTTGTTTTTTACCCCAGTGATGAGATTATTCTAAGGCTCAGGATGGAAAATTTTCCGATTTAATGAAATCCTAATAGTGAATGCGTTTTCATTTGGGAAAATCTATTGATTCCAAAATCAAATGCTAAAAGCAAACATTTTTTAAAGAACTTTTAAATGACATTTTTGACATTTGACCAATTCATAGGTTGTTTGTTCAACAATCTACTAGTGTATGGTCAGCCTAAAGTGTTACTAAACCCACAACAGTAAAATCAGTCTGTATATGCAGTAAAGCATGCTTGTTATACTCACTGTGGAACCTAAGGGGTTAATCCATCCCATTGTGTAAAAAGGCTGTTTGATCCTGTCTTCTCTGGTTCTCCCCTTCTTCCACAGTCGCCAATCCATCTGCCATAGTTCAGTAGTTCAGAGCAGCAGTGGCAAGTCTGCCCATGCTCTGTTTGGTGTGTAGAGAGTTTGTTTTTTTTGGGTGTATGTCATTGGCACAGGGCCAATCAGCACTGTCCATACAGATGGTCAGGGGTCAAGCAGCCTCATAGGATAGCCAGAGCAGAATGAAAACTCCTTCTACAAGCTTTAACCAGTGCTTTGCTGAACACTGATAGAAGTCACAAGACTGTTCTGACTGCTGTTGAGAAAAGGAATTTACAGTTTATATTTACTAAAATAATTGCATTTCTATGTTCCGTGTACTGTGGTGGACCAGATATAGTGAATGCAGGGTACGGGGAGACCAGATATAGTGAATGCAGGGTCCGGGGAGACCAGATATAGTGAATGCAGGGTCCTGGGTTTAGTAATGCTTTAACTGTGCGGGGTGGGCCCATTAACACAAATGCGCTTTTGATGCGTTCCTAACTTCCCATTGACTTACAATAGAAGTGCTTTCTGGTGTGCTTGTGAAAAACCGCACCAACGATGCAGCATGCAGGACTTTTCAAAGTGCAGCATGTGACAGGAGTCATTTTGGGTGGGGGGCCCATGGAACCCAGCTCACTTTGGAGAGGTGGGGAGACCCCTGTCTCAGCTCCCTATATCCCTCTTATGTGTAAATCACTCTGTGCCTGTTAGGGGTACAGGGTGACCTGTCCTAATATTGTGTAGACATGTCTAGGAGATAGTTGGGGTGGGGGGATGTTGATTGTTTAATGTTATGTGGCTGCATCCCATTGTTCTATTGTTTGTCTTGTTTGGGAGCAAACTATTATGGGATGTATGTATTTAGGTGTATTAGCTTAGTAAGGGGGGGGTGTCTCCAGCAGCCCTCCCTCCTGATGGGACTGTCTACTGGTGTGAAGTTTGAATACCTGTGTGTCTCTTGTTACTAAATGTAGATTGCCCTGCCCTGTGTCATTATGCAGGGAGGAGGGATTGTCCCCATGAGTGTATATATCTTGTATCTGTGTTCAAATAAAGTCGTCTAGTCTTGTATGGTCAGCTGTGGTGTCTGTTGTCGGTGTTCGGACGGGGAAGCGGTATTCTAACGGAAGTACCCAAGTGCAGTCTGGGTCGGTTCCGTTACACAGCACACCTGCAGTGTGAAAAGTTACATAGGATTTAATGAGGAATAGTTTTTGTAATATAATAATGATAATAATGATAATGAGTACTACTATAATAATACAAGTCATAGTGATCGCAGTTAGTTTAGGGTTAGGGGTTGGATCAAAGTAAATGTAAACCCTTAAAGTGTTACTAAACGCACAACAGTAAAATCAGTCTGTATATGAAGTAAAGCATGCTTGTTATACTCACTGTTGGACTTAAGGGGTTAATCCTCTGCATTGTGTAAAAAGGATGTTTGATCCTGTCTTTTCTGATCCTCCCCTTCTTCCATGTTTCCCATTTCATCTCCTAATAGAACACAACCTCGGGGACACTGTGCACATGCTCAGTTTGGTGTGTACTGCTAGAGAGTTTTTTCTTTTTCTTGGAAGGGTGCATGTGATCAGCACAGGGCCAATCAGCATTGTCCAGACAGAGCTCAGGGGTCCTGCATCCTCCTACAGGAGAATGAAATCTCCTCCTACAAGCTTTAACTAGTGCTCTGCTGGACACTGATAGAAGTCACAAGACTGCTCTAACTGCTGATGAGAAAAGGTATTTAGCAATTTATATTTAAGACCACTTACTGTTATCTCACATATATATTCTTATTATTATAGCCAAATTTACCACCCTAACTCCTCCCACAGTTTTTACACTACATAGACAGTAATATACCAAAACGTGCGGATTGTTCCCGATTGGAGTGTTATTACTTTGTGGAACGTTTCGCCGAATAGTTCACGAAATATCAGCGTTTTTGTGGTGAAATTGGTCCCATAGGAATGAATGGCGGAATGTTCAAAACTAGAGTGGGAGCTGACAAAACCTTTTCACAGTTACTCAAGCCACTCCAACCAGTTACTCCGCCCACTCCAGTTGTAGACTAATGGTGGAGGCAAGAACACATCACACAATTTCCCCAGAAATTGTAGCTTTTCTAGTTACTAAAATAATTGCAATTCCATGTTGTGTGTACTGTGGGAGACCAGATACAGTGAATGCCGTGTCCGGCGAGACCAGATATAGTGAATGCAGGGTCCGGGGAGACCAGATATAGTGAATGCAGGGTCCTGGGAGACCGGATATAGTGAATGCAGGGTCTGGGGAGACCGGATATAGTGAATGCAGGGTATGGGGAGACCAGATATAGTGAATGCAGGGTCCGGGGAGACAGGGTCGGGGAACCAGATAGTGAATGCAGGGTCCGGGGAGACCAGATATAGTGAATGCAGGGTCCGGGGAGATATAGCAGGGTCCGGGGAGACCAGATATAGTGGATGCAGGGTCCGGGGAGACCGGATATAGTGAATGCAGGGTCCTGGGAGACCGGATACAGTGAATGCAGGGTCTGGGGAGACCAGATATAGTGAATGCAGGGTTCCGGGTTTAGTATCATTTTAATACTTTAATCCATTTTTTATGAATTTGTTGCAATGTCTCTTACCTGCCAGGTGCAGAATTTCCTGTTTCAGGCTGACACCCCTAAATCAATAAGCAACAGTGTTGCCACTCTCTCATGTGCATTTCCTCACTTCGTCAATAGGCTGCTTATTAGATACGTGCAGAACAAAAAAATTGGTTTTGTTTTGTTTATTCGTTTTCGTCCAGATTCAAATTTATCCAAAGGTTTTGAAGTATTTGAAATTAACTTGAAAAAAAAAAATCAAATTAATACAATTTATTGTGAAGAATAGTTGGTTCTATTCTATTAGAAATTCGGATTTAGGAAAACACCAAATTTTTTTTCTATTCTATTCTAAATTCAAATTTTGGAAGACAGCTATATTTTTTCTATTTTATTCTATTCTAATCTATTTCTTTCTATTTTTTATTCTCTTCTATTTCTTTATTTTCTGTTCTTTTCTACTCTATTCAATTCTCTTTTATTCTTTTTGAAATTTGAATTTTGCAAGATAGCTATATTCTTTCAATTTTAATCTATTTGAAATTCAAATTTCAGAAGACAACTATAGTCTTTCTTTTTTATTCTATTCTACTTAATTATGTTTTTTTTTTATTTTATTCTATTCTATTATCTATCCATTCAGTCGTATCTGACCCTTGGCGATTGCATAGACCGTCACTCGTAAGCAAATTTTTCCATGAATTCTCTTAGCAATTATTTTACAGGGTAGGTTGCCAGGTCTTTCCCCAACCCCTACCATGCAGGAAATCCCATGTGGCCAGGGATGACACTAGGACAATTTAGACAGGAGCCAATTAACCTACCAGCATGTCTTTGGAGTGTGGGAGGAAACCGGAGTACCCGGAGGAAACCCATGCGAACACAGGGAGAAACATGCAAACTCCATGCAGGAGGTGCCATGGTTGGGAATTGAACCCAATTACTGCAAGGCAAAAGTGCCAACCACTAAGCCACTGTGCCGCCCCCCTATTCTATTATAGTATATTCTATTTCATTCTATTTTATTTTATTCTTTTCTAATCTTTTCGAAATTCGAATACTATCCTCTTTTTATGTTATTCTGTTATATTTAAATTTCGAAATTCAAATTTCGGAAGACAACTAGACTCTTTCTATTCTACTCTATTCTTTTTTAAATTTGAATTTTGGAAGACAGCTATAGTCTAACACCTAACACCAATACAGGTAGTCAGCAAGTCAGAAGGTAATCAGCAATAGTCAGCAATATTTTTACATTTCAAATTTGTTTTCGAATTCGGTTTTGTTTTCAAACTTCGAATTCATTTCAAATTCAGATCATTCGGATACATCTGAGTCTTGGAACAACGAAACGAATGGCACCTGTCTACTGCTTATTAGATCTATCAGTTGGCCCAATAGCTAGCTAAAGGAGCCCTCAAGGCAGGCAGACAATGCTACTTCACCAAAAAAGATGCATGTCCTATTTCTGGCCATGTAGTGCAACAAATATTAATGTTTTTGCTGCGCATTGCACTGTGCTGAAATGTATGTCCATCAGTAATGTACATTGGACTGCCAATCAGAATGAATAGCACCACATCATACAAACATATATGTAGTGCGAATGTGCGAATTACTGCAATGCAATAGTCTGAATTTTTACCTTCACTTTGAAGGCGAGGTTAGGATATGATTGGTATTTGTTGTGTGTAATAAATACATTTTCATGTGGGATAAAGGTTGTGGCACCAAAACTCTTGTGTCTGAAGAAGGTGTATCAGTCATACGTAAAAGTAGACCACTCTTATCAATATTGGTATTCAGGGCTGTGGATAAGGGGGTACCACCAGTCCTCCTGTATGGGGCCCAAGTCAGCAAGGGGGCCCAGACAGTTGGGTGAATTGAATGTGGGAAGAGAAGGTGATCGGCACGGTGGGGGGGCAATCACTGGAACCGATGCCCTGTATGGCTCTCTGCAACATCTGAAAGCTAAATTCTTCTCCTTTCCCTCCCGCTGGTTTTCAGCTGCTGCAGAGAGAGTCATACAGGGGATCAGTTCCAGTAATTGCTCCCCTTCCCACCATGCCAATCACCCTTCCTGTAAACTTCTGATTCACCCAGCTGATTGGGCCCCCACAATGCCGGCTTCCCTTTTCTCCTTCCCTCCAGTAGCTGCAGCACACAATAGGATCCTTCAGGATGGAAAGTGGGGAAGGGTCTGATAAATATGTCACATTAATCAGCACCTTCCTTTCCTGAATTAACACATTTGAGTGATCAGCACTGATCACTCACTGTGTTCATTCATAACTGAAGCAGAGTGAACTGTGTTATTTTGGATTTTTTTTAAGGGGGCCCTGTCAGGTTGGCTATATGGGGCCCCATGGTTTCTAACAGCAGCCCTGTTGGTACTATGCTCGCAGTCATCAGGCAGATCTAAAATGCCCCCAACCCTCCCCCATTCTTAGCACCAGGAATGAGCAGCAACATTACTATAAAATTCACCTCCAATAAATTTAAATCTCCAATTGATTGAGAAGTCGGAAACAACAATTTTCCTTTCTTTGATAGGAGAAGGTAAAAAAAAAACATCAGTGTTCCTAACAGCAGAGGCTCCACAATGGGTTTTTTTTAGCTCCTATCCAAGGAGCACATCACCTGCCTGAGAGCCTCCAGAGGATTCAAGATCAGGACACCCAAGGCATCTATCCTGGGTGGGGACAGGGGTTTCGCCCAACTGCGATCATGGTGGGTTGTGTGCCTTACCCTATGGGGTGATCACAACCTGCCCAGATGTAAGTTATTCAACTAAATACCACATATATCCTTTCCGAATCAGCAACTATAATACAGATTTGCACTAGACTATAAGGTCTTTCCCACCTCCCTTTTTATTTTTCTGGTGGGCACTCTGAACCATCTCACGGATCTCTATTTTACTTCTTCAGTTTGACCTTACGGAACTCTGAGGACTGCCACCACTTGCATCCCAATGTTCTTTTTCTGGACATTTTCTGTAAAATGCATTGGAGTCAACTAGAGGCTAAATAATCACAGCTCTTAGCCAGCAAACACCAATCTCTACCACTTATAATCAAAACTTTGCCACGATAAGCACCAAAGACACAGAGCAAGGGTGCAGATTATGCAGTGGAAGGCAGCTGTAAGAACTTGAGGAAAGGTTTGACTAATGCCACCTCCAGAGAACAACGCCTAAGGCAAATTCTTATAGAGCTCCAGTTGAGAATCTTGGTGGTAGTGGTAATGGTAGTTTCATGGTAGTTAAAAAAGGCATAACAAAGCATTTATGTAGTAGAGTGTGAACGCTAGGACACATGAGACACAAGAACCTGAGCTAGATATGAATAAATAAGGAAAAGTGGAGGATTTTCCTGTCAACAGGTCTAGTACAGAAAGTAACCCTTTCGCTTTTGCACCATTAGCAAAAGAATCAAGCCTGAACGGCAAGTGCAGAAGAGACGTGAGGTCTACAGGGCTGTAATAGAGAACAAAGATCTCTTAATACGTTCCAGATTTCTCAAGAATAACAGCTCATGTGTAATAGCAAGCAGACAAATCCCAATAAATGTATTATACAGTGTGCTGCATAAACCTTTCTTAAGGAGAGAAGGAATGGAATAAAGTGAAAAGGAATCAGTGAAGCGCTCAGTAGGGATCTTGCTAGATATACGAAACATCATTATTCACACAGATGAAAGGTCCTAAATAATCAGGATTTAAGCCAGCGCGCACACACAGTTTCCAGGCTGTAAACCTGAATTCTAACAAATCTGTCCACCCTTTGGGCTGCTGTACAACCCCGGTACAAAAAATATTGGAGTTTGTAGTTTAGGGACGCGGATCAGGTGTCGGTTATCAGGCTTTTCAGTTTAAAGACCTGAAGTTTAGATCAGATAAATATATGTAAGGTGCATTAAAACAAAGGGTGTGGAAATATACAGTAATACAGTTCATCCTCTTTAGAAAATAGCCACAGCCTGAGTAGAAAAGCCTGTCCCTTGCCAGCATAGTGCAGAGAAGGACCCTTGCTCTATGTAGGAAGCAGTGGTCTCTCTGCAGTGACATGACACACATCCCTGCTAAGCCACAGCTAGAGCTGTCCAATCAGCAAGAAACATGAGCTTTTTTGAGTGCAGAGTGTCACGATCGCACGGTCGCCGCCACCAACATGCGACAATCGCACGACCGCGACTAACAGTAATACGTCACGCCCGCGGCATCAGACCCCAGACCTTCTCACCAAACTCGTGACCGAAGGACCGGCCGATCTAAAACCGCGGTGTGACGCACGTAACAAGGCCCCACCCAGCTGCACCATGCACAGCAATTGTCCAGCTAGTGGGCTACAATCGGTGCCTGCAGCCTGAATGCGCTTGTTACTGGGTCGGGTTAATTACGCAACTAACCCTTTACTGCCACCACCACTTTTAAAAAAAGGAGACTGGGAAACTCCTGTTATTAAATATACACTATAATGATATATGGCATACACTGCAGAGGAATGGCATGCATGGGTGTCATCCACAAAGGAAGCCTCTCCTAAAGCCCATATACAAAAAAACACCTGCCTAGAATTTGCCAGGGCCCGTGCTGAAAAAGAAGAAGACTACTGGAACTCTGTACTCTGGAGTGATGAGCCAAGATAAATGTTTTTGGAACTGATGGCTTCAAAACTGTATGGTGTCGCAAAGGTGAGGAGTACAAAGAAAAATACCCACAGTGAAACCTGATGGTGGCAATGTCCTTCTGTGGGGTTACAAGTGTGCTGCTGGTGTTGGGGAGCTGCATTTCATTGATAGTATCTTGAATTCACAGATGTACTGCTCTATATTGTAAGAGAAGATGCTACCATCACTCCATGCTCTTGGTCGTCGTGCACTTTTCCAACATGACAATCATCCAAATCACACATCTAAGGCCACTGTTGCATTTCTGAAGAA